AACGAGAGAAAATATTAATCGCAAGATTAATTTTTTTACGAGTTCTGAAGAAAAGAGATTTCCAAGTTCTCGTAGATTAGGGCGCGAATCTCGCGTATATTTTTTTTTTTTTTTTTTTTTTTTTTTTTTTACAAATGAATTGCATTGAACATTGTTTAAAAGTCGGATACAATTTCGGATAAAAAGGAAAAAACTTTTCGACGCGAGAAATGGATTATTTTTCTTTTTGTTTCTTAAAATTCGCACCCTCGAGCACGAAGAATTTGGAAAATTTGCGACAAGCTTTTCGCGAGAAGATGGAAAAGTAATTAATCGGCGATGTCTAGGCGTTTCCTTTTTCGTTCGTGTCCCCCACCCTGTGCATCGGCCTTAATCACAAAAAATCAACCAGGTGTGGTGCTGTTCACGCTCGACGTTTCGCGGGTGCCACTCAAAAAAACACACGGGTGAGGCAAAAATACAAAAATACACGTCTTGTGTGTCTCCCTCTCGCCGACAACACTCAGCTCGTTCGATAAAAAAATAAAGAAAAAAAAAAAAAACAAGATATATATATATATATATATTAAACGTGTTCACCGTTCGTATCAACGAATCGTAAGCGAAAAACGACCGCCACCAAAAGCTCGTCGGGGGACTTTTAAACGAAACGAAACGAAACAAAACGTAACGAAACGAAACGAAAGAGGAACTCGAGGTTTCCCGTTGAAAAAAAGGAAAAAAAAATCGGCGTATTCCTCCACGAAAACTACTCGTTTCTAGGAACGAGTGTGCTCGAGGAATATCGATTGGAACCTCGAGTCGATAAAGTAAAAAAAGAAAAAGAAAAAGAACCAAGGAAAAAGTAACCGGTGTGACAAAAGTGAAAGCAAACCGAGGATACTGGAACTCAAAAGCGAAAAGACGCGCGAAACCCGTGTGCGCTTGGAAATAATTACTTGCGCATACTTGGGGTTCGTGCATACGAACGCAAAGCGAAACAAAGGGAAATCAAAAGCGTTAATGTCAAACCAAAGGGAAAGAAAAATAAAGAGAAAGAAAAATACCCTCAAACTCGAGTACGGCCGTTTCGTGCAACTTCGCGTCCGATCACGAAGGAATCATTCCACTTACGCATATCTTAAACAGCGATGGGCAAAATTTATAAATAGTTACTAAGCTAAACTTGCTTCTGATGATTCTTTATCGAAACGTATGTAATAATAACAATTTGAAATAAACGTTTAATTAATTTCTTAAAATTTCGAACAAAGTTTCTTCATATACACTTCTCAACCAAGATTAAAATTCCCCCCCCCCCCCC